TTGATCCCCGGAATAACCTCCAGGTAACCAAACAATCGTGTTCACCAAGAACAAAATTCTCGACAAAAGAAAGCGGAGTCTGTGTTACTACTCGTGTTACTTGTTCATGTGTAAATATTTTTTTGTTTTACGATCATGTTCGCATTTTTATTTGCTATGTCCCAGTTTTGACCTGACTTACATTCGTCTCCAGATGGAGACAAGAAGGAAGGCTACAATTCCTTCGATCAAGGCCCCTTACCAACATCAAGACTTCTCGCCCCTGTCCATGAAGAGTGCTCACACTCTAACAACTTCCTTCCACGTGAAGTAGCCACAAGCACTCAATAGAAGGTGAAATCCACTGGAACATTCTATAATCTATGCAATGTTTTTAGAGCCTACTATTTCCACTGATTTTAATCACAGTGGTTGATCAAAGGCAGTGATGGGCACAGCTAACCGAAAAGTTAGCTTCGCTAATCCGCTAACTAAAAGAATAGCTCCGCTAACGCTAAACCGCTAAACGGCCGAAAAATTAGCGAAAGCTCAAGCTAAACGCTAACTTTTTCACGTGAATTCAGATTCGGTTTAGTGTTTAGTCTTTCACTTTTACTTTAAGACATTCAGAACAGACTTGGAGAGTTTCCTAATAAGATACAGAATGTCAGGGTCATGTGATGATCAAGTGCCGCTAGTGTGAAAATACCAATTGTTTAATTTTGTGATGTAACGCGAGCGACCGACAAGGATATACTTGTTACTGTACTGAAACATCATACCAAACAATACTCATCTTTAATATTCAAGTATAAGTACAGTACCAGTGTTGTAAAGTAATGAAGTCAAACTACTTAAATACTATACTTAAGTAACTTTCTTCGGTATTTACTCTTTTATAAGTACTGAAATTGCTCACTACTTTTACTTTTGCTTAAGTACTGAAATCTTTTATTACTTTGTAAAGTAAAAGGACACAAGTGCAACTAATGTGACATTTTTATTATGGCAACGTTTCGCTCTCCAGGGCTTTGTCAAGCCGTTCGCTCCTGGAGAGCGAAACGTTGCCCCAATAAAAATGTCACATTAGTTGCACTTGTGTCCTTTTACTTTACACATTGTCGGTAATTACCAACGCTCTTATATGGGTGTGAAGCGTGGGTGATGAATGTTGCAGCGAGGAGAAGGCTGGAGGCAGTGGAGATGTCATGTCTGAGGGCAATGTGTGGTGTGAATATAATGCAGAGAATTCGTAGTTTGGAAGTTAGGAGGAGGTGCGGGATTACCAAAACTGTTGTCCAGAGGGCTGAGGAAGGGTTGTTGAGGTGGTTCGGACATGTAGAGAGAATGGAGCGAAACAGAATGACTTCAAGAGTGTATCAGTCTGTAGTGGAAGGAAGGCGGGTAGGGGTCGCCTAGGAAGGGTTGGAGGGAGGGGGTAAAGGAGGTTTTGTGTGCGAGGGGCTTGGACTTCCAGCAGGCATGCGTGAGCGTGTTTGATAGGAGTGAATGGAGACAAATGGTTTTTAATACTTGACGTGCTGTTGGAGTGTGAGCAAAGTAACATTTATGAAGGGATTCAGGGAAACCGGCAGGCCGGACTTGAGTCCTGGAGATGGGAAGTACAGTGCCTGCACTCTGAAGGAGGGGTGTTAATGTTGCAGTTTAAAAACTGTAGTGTAAAGCACCCTTCTGGCAAGACAGTGATGGAGTGAATGATGGTGAAAGTTTTTCTTTTTCGGGCCACCCTGCCTTGGTGGGAATCGGCCGGTGTGATAATAAAAATAAAAAAAATATTGTCGGTAATTCTACCAACATTATTACACTTTTATTACTTCACTTCACTACAATATGATAACGATACGTTACTCGTTACATCATCAGTAATTTCTGAAAAGTAAACACCGAGAAAAGTTACTCAAATATAGTACTCAGGTAGTTATACTTCATTACTTTACGACACTGGGAAATACCTACAATACAATACCTACAATGCAATACCTACGAAAATTAAGAAAATATAAAAAGGCTATTGGAGTAGTTTAATAAGCACTTATAACTTATAAGATACTCCTCCAGCTGATTATGGCTGACCAAAATCCTCCTGCCCAGGGTGGGTGGGACATCGACGTCTTGCTGGAGTTTGAGACTCTCTGACCGCGGGTTCAAATCCCGCCGGTGGTATGGTTTGTTTGCAATCGTGTCATTACGATTTCGTGAGTCTTGCTGGAGTTCAGTGTCTTGATAAGGTGGGGGATTCCATTACATGCAGCGGTAGTATGTTGCTGATGAATAGGTCCACAATCTTTGTGTCCACCACAGATTGACAGACGCTAGTACCAGCAGTAGCAAACGCTTCTCCAATGGTGGTCTGGCGTGCACTCTGTGCAGGCAGCTTTGACCCGTGTTTTCCACGGGAAGATCCGGCCTTGATTCTTTCAAGCTTGATGGCATGCGCTGGATGTTGCATCTTAACATGCGACATCAGGTTGTAGAGGCTCGCCGCCTGTCCCTTGATGAT